CACCCCCAACCCAGCCCCTGGACCACTGCACCTGCCTCTGAGCCCAAAACACAGTCCTCAGGTAACCACGGAAACCAGGTGTAGGCAGCTGGGCCCTGCAGCTGACCCTCAGCACCAAACAGTCAGTCCCAGCTGACCAGGCAATTCTTGGGGCCCCTTTCTGATGGGGCCAGGGCAGGGCTGCTGGGAAGGTTCCTCCGGGCGCACGGTCAGACCTACTTCAGTTATTTATTTCTGTGTTTTGCTCTTGCCTCCTGGAAACGGACTTGAAGTTTCTTCCACGTGCTCTGTCCTCTGCTCTTGGGGGCCAGGATCCCCCAGGGGACCCTCCCCACCGGCCCTCAGGGTCGCCTCCTCTCTTGCTCTGCAGAGGAGGGAAACGCTCCCTTGGACTTTGCAGCTCAGGCTGTCCCCTCATTGCCCGGGGACCACCCTAGTGCACCCGACCTCGACCGCCTGGCGCTCCAGTGCCTTCCTCCGTCCGTCCATCTGTTCATCCCGGGCCCGGCGCCTGCACTGGGCAGCCCGACACCAGCCTTGCCTGGGGATGGTGCCACCTGTGTCTCCTCACTCTCGGGGTGTCGTACCCACAGCCCCCAGAAGGCGGGGTGCCCCGACCCCAGCCCAGGGCCACGGTCCCCTCCCCAGAGCCCCGCGTGGGCCATGTGGGGAGCATCTCGGAGGACTGTCCACTAGGAAGCAGCCTGATGGTGGGGACACTGCCCCCTTCCCCTGTGTCCTCAACCCAACGGGGCAGGGAACCCCCTCGCTCGCTCTCTGTTATTTATTCAGATGTTCTCAAGCCTTAACGCTGGCGTGGGTGAGGGCCTCCCTTTTAGGAGATCGGAGGAGGGGGATTTGATGTTGTTGGGGCAACTCTGAACTTACCGCCTCGGGGAGGTCCCACTCTGCCCCTGAGCCCCAATCTGTCCACTGGGTCCTGGGCTCATTGTGTGGCCAGGAGCCCGGCTCTGTTCAGAGGACGGGGGCTTTGGACCTTCAGGAGGTGGCTCTGTTTCTGCCCTGGCACCTCCCCTGTTTGGCTGGGGTGTGGGAGTCTCCCCAGTGTGCACAGGGCACGGGGGTCGCCTTAGCTGTGAAAGGGAAAAGCACCCACTGGGGGCCTGAGCCCAGCCTGTCCCTGCCTGTTCCCCACCCTGCTGGGAGCTGTCCCGAGGCTGAGAACACTGTCCTGTGGCAAGTGGCCCTCGCTGCCCCGGACCGTCTGCCTTCCACGCTGGAAACCCCTCTTCTGGGCGTCCAGGGGCGTGCCCCTTCCCCTCCCGGGCCCTCTCCCCACCCGGACAGAAAGCTCCACCTTGTAAGAGAGACTCGCATGCAAGACTGTTTACACGACAAAACTCAGCCACAGGCTGCCCACGGGCGGGCAGGGTGCCCAGCCTGGGCTGGCTGCGCTGAGGCTGCCCGCCAGGCGTCTCCCACGGGTGTGACTCCTCAGCCTGCGAGGTGCTTCTCCGCTGTCCCTGACGGGTCCCCTACCTCACGGCTCAGCTGTTCTGGGGCAAATCCCTGATTCGACACTTGAAGTCCCTCGGAGCCCTGCCCCGCCTCTCACCCTGAGCGCCGGCATCTCTGTCCGCTCCTCAGGGAGGCCCGCGACGCACAGTTCGGGGCAGGACCCCAGTGCCCTCCTTGCACAAGCGTCCCAAGTGTTGGAAGCACAAATCGGTTGTGATTTTAGCACAATGACAAGAGGCCTGTGTGCTCCGCGCCGGGGGGGCTCCTCCCAGGTCGGCTCTGCAAGGTTCGGCTGGGGATGCCCGGTCTGGGGGGCCGGCCCTCGCTCAGACCAGGGCGTGCCCAGGGCTCATCCTGATTCTGGGTCATTGTCTTCTTCCTCTCCTGCGCCCCTCTGAGGACATGAGACTGGGCCACTAGGTGTGGACCCTGCACCCCAACTGCCAATGCCTGAGCCCACCCTGGGTCCCTACGAGCCTGACCCATGTCCCCCGTCTCCTGGGCTGGCACCATGAATACTTTTGAAGCTGCCTGACAAGCCCCTGGGTGGGCCTTCTTGGCACCATCCTGTGCCCAGCCCTGTTCTCGGTATTAACCGCTCAGTGTTTGCTTTCACCCGAGTGACTGGATCCTTGGAAGTCCCCAGGGAAGCACTGTCGTTACCTTCGGGGCTCGCCCAGCAAGGAGGAAGGGCCAGGGGCAGAGGCTGGCATCCCAGGGACACCTGTGGATCTGGGGGTGGTCTCCCGCCCACCACCCTCACAGCAGCTGCCGCCGGGATGCCTTCCACCCTCTGGGGCCTCAGGGCTTGGGCAGACGGTAGTTGAAAGCACAAAACAGCTGCAGGAGGGATGTGGCTGACACTGTCTCACGCTGGCCAGTGTGGTGGGGACGCTGCTGGGAAGCCGGAGGTGCCCAGCTCCGCCAGAGGCTGTCCTGGGCTCCCTCCCGTGCAGCGTGGGCTGGGTGCAGGCGCCACCCTCCAGCTTGCTCAGCCCTGCCTGTGCCTTCATCGTGTTTATGCCAGAGCGCTGAGCTCCTGCCCGCAGGGTGGCCCAAACCATGGCCTCTGCCCCCTTGTCATCCCAAACAGTGTCGCTCTCTTGGCTTGGCACAGCCTCCTGGTCTGGGTGGAGGAGCCAGGACCCAGCTGATGCCCCCCACAGGTCTCCTGAGCCTCACCCTCCTCTCCTGGCCCCCAGAACCTTCGCCGCCCTCCTACATACAAAGCAAGTTCTGTTTTTTCTATGGCATCTCTGTCCTGTTCCCCACGCCCTGCCCCTCCTCAGCACTCAGATGAGCCCAACCCTGCCATGCCCAGCCCAGTCCTTGGAGCCCAGGTCTTGAGGTCCTTGCACAGAAGTGGTAACTGCTCCACAAAGAAGAGCCAAGGGTCCGAGAAGACCTCTGTGGTGAATCAGGGCCCTGCCCAGCCCACCAGCTCTTTTCCAGCCCCACCCCACCCCCAGGCCACAGAGTTTCATGGGCTCATGTCTCTCACCCTATGGCCAGCACAAGGTGTACAGATGTTTTTACCTCCCCCCACGACTGTACATAGTGTATGAAAGTTATTTAAACCCCATGCTGTACATTTCTGTTCCTAGACTGGATGCGTGTGCTCTCAGAAGTTGTCATAATAAAACCCAAATGACCATGGTCTGTGGTGCTGTGGTCCCTGGGGGCCCCCCTCCGGTGGGGGGCAGTGGCGAGTGGGTGAGCCAGGCCTCAGAGGCTGGGCGCCTGGTGAGAATTTCCTGGGCTGTGAGTGTGGGGCCTCCTTGGGTCTGAAGCAGTGTTGAGTGTCACCTCCTGGGATGGGCACGGCACCTGGAAGAGGGGCCAGGGTCTGCTGAGCGCCTGCTATATGCCAGGCACTGTATCTGACTTTTCATGGGGTTATCTCCGCCCTGTGACGGGTGGGGTCCTGAAATGAGAAAACTCAGAGAGGAAGTGACTTGTTTCAGGTCACAGCTAGTGAGGGCAGAGCCAGGACTGGAACCCAGACCTGCTGGACCAGGGCACCCCGTCCTTTCTCTCGTGATCAGTGCATTCTGAGGCCTGGAGGGTCTCTCTGCTTTGTTTTCCGAATATGAAACCAGGTTGGTTTGTCAACCTACACGGTCTCCCTGTTGTCTAGACCCACGGTCCAGCCAGTGTGTCCGGGGGTCATCGTGGGGTGGAGGGAGGGTTTCCTGTCCTCAGATGGAGGGGCCTTGGCAAATGAGAGGGGACCCTGAGCCACCGAGGGAACAGTGGGCAGAGCTGCCTAACTCCCCACACCCCTCCCCCATGGGCACAGGTGCCACCCCGCCCGGGAAGCAGGTGGCTTCTGAGGATGCTGTTTTTGGCTGGCGGGCCAAGCCCCACCCTTGCTCCCCACACGGGACCCTGCCCTACAGGGTAGAGCCCACTGTTGACTGTGGGAGGTGACAACCGGGCGTGGCCAGCTGCAGGCCCGGTGGGTGTGCGGGTGAAACCAGAAGACAGAGGCCTAGGAGCTGCTGAACCTGTTGGGAGCAGCCCGGGAGCCGACTCCATACAACTGGTTCCTCCCCTTGGGACTGTGCTCTTCCCCTCCCCCTCGGAACATTTGCTATAAAAGCTGGTTTTTCCAAACTCTGGCCACCCTGTATCTTGAAGATGTCAAGGCTCTTGTTGGGGGAGACAGAAGTACTGGGTTTAAGGACTTTATTTTTTGTTCCTTTAAATGTGGATGTTACTATAAGAGTAACATCTGCTTATTATAGAAAATAATACCAGAGGGAAGCCCACAGGGGTGAGGAGTGTGTCCCTGGGGACTTGGGTGCAGGGACAGAGGGGGGCGCTGCCGGGTGGAGCTCCATCCAAGTCTCAGCAGGTTTGGCCACAGGGGAACCTACATTTTAGAACTTTGGGTCCCTGTCCCTGCATCCAGAGCTGTGCCCGGGGCCCGGTTGAGGGAAGGTCGGAGGGAACAGATGACACCCTGGCGGGTAGTTGGTGGCAGTGGGAGCAGCAAATGACCCCATATGGACCCTGAGAATTGCTCCAGGGATTGTCAAACGAACCTGGGTCAGACTGATGCCAACAGGGGGACAGTGGGGCACACCCAGCTCCCTGTGAGCAGTGCCCAAATCCTCTGATCCCCCCGGGATTTTTTACAAGCTCACTGGTGCCCTTTAATAAACTACCCTCCAGCCTAAACCAGCAGAGCGACTCAACCGCCACCAGGAGCCCCGCCCAGAACCACAGGCTCAGAGGCCTCACCCCCCAGAACCTGGTCAAGGGAATGTTCCAGAGAATCTCCCACTCTGGCCTCAGACCACCTGCTGAGGGGGAGAGGGCGGAGGGGCATCTGGGGGAGGCCTGGGCCCAGGGGACTGCTGCAGACGGGGCAGCTCCTCGCAGGTGGCCCACTCCACACGCCCGGCATGGACTTGCATGGAAAGATCAGGAGACCTGCTCCACAGAAGTTCCTGCTTTTATTACTGAGCGTCTGCAGGGCATGCCTCCATCTCCTGTTTAGGCTCAGGAACCTGGCCCAGGTCATAGCCGCTACCCGGTGCGGCCTCAGACCTGGTTTTTTCAGAGTCTCCAGCTACAGAAGCAGGACGTCGGGCTTTCGACCGGCAGGTTCTTCCTGGCTTCCAAGACATACAGGGTCTGCTTGGTGAGGCAGCTGACCTCGGCCTCGGGGTCTGCCGTCATCGACCTCAGGGCTGTAACAGAAAAACAGAAACACTGGGTATTTTGCACAGAGACACTGCCAGGCTGGGTGGGAGGCCAGGCCACGCACTTGCCACAGGCTCTGGGGGACGCCAAGCCAGCTGCTGCTGGTCCTGCACCCGCAACCAACCCTTGGGGTTCTTGCCACTGTCCCCTCCCTCGTTTCGCCCTCCCCCTTCCCAGATTCCAGCTGTGAGTAAAGTCCTTTGACTCCAGAGAGAGCTGTGGCAACCAGCTTGGGGACCCGCAGAGGCAGAGCCATGTGCTTGAGTGAGGCAAGACAGAGGGGACACGTGGACCACACCCGAGCAGCGCTGGGGGCTCCAGGGGGCGCTGGGAACCTCCATGTCCCCTCATGAGAGAAAAGGTTGGGCGTCCCTCCTATGAAGTTCAGGGATTGTCTCAGCTGATAGACGAACTGCCCCTCAGCAGGAGTGCAGTCAGTGAGTGGACATGGGGGGGCAGGAGGGCTCTGACTGGTGCCCCAAAACTCAGTGCCTCGGAGACGAGCCTCTCTCGTCCTGCTTCTTGGGTGCTGAATTCCATGAGCCCCTCTGCCCACTAAATTTGCAAGGAGTGGGTGAGCGGCTGCCACTTACCTGTATACGCCTCCTGGATCTCATTTCCCTCGTCCATGTCTAGGGTTTGGATAATCTGGCCTGCGGGGCACAGGGCACCTTAGTGGCCCCACCGAGGATGGGGAACCTGGCTGCCCCTGCTCTGGGCCTCTTTCCAAACCCCCACACTCCCTCCCTCTGTCCATCTTTCCCTCCCCACTACAGGCCGTGGAAAAATTCCCTGCTTCTCTGAAGGGCTGGGGGAGGGGAGGGGACCCCTGTGCTCTGAAGAATGCGAGGCAGTCCCACCAGACTTGAAGCTTCCCACCAAGCAGCACCCAGGCCCCTGACACCCGGGGAGCTTTGCTGGCCCAGCCTCCCAGGGCGCACCTCCCGGGACGAGCGAGGCCCATTCTGCCTTAGGAAGGTCGCCCGCCCAGCCAGGAGCTTCCCGCAGGGAGACAGTCCTCCCTCCCCCAGGTCCTGTGTCCCAGGGCCTCATGCTGTCTGGGAGACCCCAGGACAGGACACAGTGGCTCCAAAAGGAGGGAGAGCCGTACCCACGAACCACACGGCGGCCTGGCGGATGGGGGCCTGCGGGCTCTTGAACAGGGCCACACTCTGTCTCAGAAACCAGAGGGCTTTGCCAGCCTCCTGCTCCAGCTGCGGGACGGGATGAGGCTCTGGGTCAGGCCAGACCCCAAAGTGGCAGGAGGACCACCCAGACCGCGGGGCCCCTGGCCTCCCAGCCCCAATGAGGAGGCCGCTGCTCACCAGGGCCCTGAGGATCGTCCACACGTCTTTCTGGGCAAATATGGCCTTGAGCCTCCACCAGCCCAGGATGGTGGCCATGCGGCGGAGGGTCGGCCGGCAAGCCTGGACAGAGAGACAGGGAGGCCTGGCCTGAGGAGGGACGGAAGCAGGGCTGGGAGGGGACAGAGGGGCGAGCAGAGTGGGGCAAATGCCAGCATGTCCAGCCAGGCAGGACCCAGGGTTGGAAGGGCAGGGTCTACAGGGGGTTTTCCCACTAACGGACATGGTTGTAATCGTTTCCCAGTTGCTGCAGAGCTGTTCGGAGGCCCAGTGCTTTTTTTTTTTTTAAATATATATATTTTTAAACCCTCACTCGAGGATATTTTTTTCATTGCTTCTCAGAGAGAGTGGAAGGGAGAGAGAAACATGGATGTGAGAGAGACACAGCGACTGGTTGCCTCCGGTACGTGCCTTGAGCCTGCAACCGAGGTACATGCCCTTGGCTGGAATCAAACCCACGGCCCTTCAATCTGCCGGCCGGCACTATAACCACTGAGCCAAATCGGCCAGCATATGACCCAGCCCTTTCTAAGTGCTTCCCATCCCGGCAGCATCCACCTTCCGTGAGACCGGGCTGGCCACCAGCTCGGCCGGGCCCCTCACCTCCACCACGCCGGCGTTCCTGTCCTCCAGGTGCAGCACCAGGAGTATGAGCAGGTTGAGCACCTGGTGCTTCAGGGGGAACACGAGGCGCCTCCTCTTGACCTTGGCTAAGATGGTCCCATAGATCTCAAAGGCCATCAGGCGCAGATGCTCTGACTCCTGGGCGAGGAGACACCCCTCCGCCTCTGTCCACCCGCCCGGTCACCACCCCTGAGCTCACCCCACTGACCACACGCTCCCAGGCCCACTCCCTTCCCCACGGCGATTGGCCAGATTGTCCCCTTCCCCCCTTTACAATCCTTATTCAAGATGACATAAGCCATCGGCCCCCCCCCAGGATGGCATCCGAGCCAAGCTAGCAGGGCCTTCGAGATCATTCCATGCAACTCCCTTGTTCTACCGCCACCCGGAGACGGGAGACGGGCCGTCGGAGGACCATACCACCTCGAAGAAGGCCCTGAGCGTGAAGGTGATCTGCACCAGAAAGGAGGAGGACTTCTGCCAGGTGAGGTGCTGCGCGAGGCACTTCAGCACCCGCAAGGTCTCCGCCACGATCTCACCGTCCACGCAGTAGCAGCAGTTGAGCACGTAGGGCTGGAGGAGGTGGAGCTGCCTGACCTGGGGAGGGACAGGGCCCGGCGGCTGCCCCATCAAGGGGCTCCCGCGCCCGTTTGAGCCCCACGCACAGATCAGGGTATGTGGCCACACATGAGCCAAACGGGTGGCGGCCCGAGGGAGCCGCCCCGGAGGACCTCCTGGCAGGTCCCGTCTGTCCCTGCGGGAACAGGGAGAAGACCCAGGGGGCCCCGCCTCCACCGCCCCTGTGAGCTTTCTCTCCGCTGCCTTTTCACCCGGGGGCTGAGCCCAATCTCAGGAGACAGGGACGGTCTGGGATCTAGAATCAGCGTGGCCTCTTCTCTGAAATGGCCCCTCTTTCCCTTCCCGGGAGGGAAAAAGCGTCGGTGGCCGAGGCCCCTGGCGCCTGTCCTCGGCCGGCCGGCGGACAGCTTCATGAGGATTTGCTGTAATCCCGAGAGTGCCCCGCCCATACCCAGACACGGTCCCTCCACATCTCCATTCTGTCCCCGAGGGTCCCTGAGCCACAATGCCCCCTGAGGACCTGCCCTGGGGCCCCCACCCCATTCACCAAGTCCCCGTGCAGCACCAAGATCTCCACAATCCGCAGCAGTAGCTTCACCACGGTGACCTCCTCGCACTGGAACCAGCCGGCCAGCACGTGGGCGGTGGTGTCATCCACCATGGCTGCCACCTCCGGGCACCGCAGCAGCTGGGGAAGGAGACAGGGGGAAAAAGGAGACAGCGTAGGTCCTACGAGCGAGGAGAGAACTGTGCTTAAGGACTGGGGAGAAACCTCGAGGAGGCATTTGTTTCGTTTGCAAGTTTGCCTCAGGCATCTCTGACACCTACTGGAAGCTGTGGGGGATGAAAGTGAGAAACACACTCAGAGATGTGTAGGTAGGTACATAGATGATGGATGGATGGATGGATGGATGGATGGATGGATGGATGGATGGATGGATAGATGATTAGATAGATAGATAGATAGATAGATAGATAGATAGATAGATAGATAGATAGATAGATATAGATAGATGATAGATAGATGATAGATGATAGATGGATAGATACAGATAATAGATAGATAGATACGTATAGGTACAGATCTGTCTGCATACGATTACTTGAGCCTGGTGAAAACTGCAGGACACAGATTTGGGTGTGTGCCTAAGAGATACCTGGGAGACGGAGAGATGGGGTGTGAGACCAATATAATAGGAGGGGAAGACAAAAATGGGAAATTTTAAAAAGGCTACAATAAAAAAACAAAACATAGCCTATGTGACTTTATTTGTATATTTATGTAAAGTTATATGTGTATATACGTTATTTGAAATAAAATTGTAAAAGACAAAAGCTAACCAGACATGTTTAAACCAGCTGTGCTTGCTTCTGGGTGCTCACACGCATGCATGTGTCTGTGTTCATACGTGTAGCCCTCGGGGCAGAGGCGTTTGGATGGAACGTCCTGTGGTTTTCTCCTGCCTTTGATTGGCAGCCAGGAAGACCCACCTCCGTCATGAACACGAAGGCCGTCAGGTGGTTCCTGTAACCCAGATCCTGCAGGATCCTGATGATGAGGCTGAAGACAGGGCAGTTGTGCCAACAGTTCTTGATGACCATGGCCCTTGGGATGAGAGCACGGGCTCGGGGTCAGGCCTGGGCTGCAGGGGAGCCCGCATGGGAGGGCCCGTGGCCAGGGACAGGCTTACCTGGCCAGCAGAGTGACCCCCTCATAGTGTCTCTCAGGGCTGCTGAGCAGCTCCCAGCCCCAGAGTCTCTGGACATAAGACACATGATCTCCATACCCAGTGCTTCTCATCAAGGTCTTCAGGGCCTCGATGGTGGAACTGGGGAAGGACAGAGGACAGAGGGGGGTCACCCCACTCCTGTGCTCCCCTCCCCCATCTGTGACCTACCTGGCTGCCGGAACCTCTCTGAGATCTGCTGGTCTTGGGACAGCCATTGAAGACACAGGCTAACATCTTACAAGTGAGGACTGAGGCCGAGAGCTGTGGTGTCCCCACGGTGGGACAGGAAGCCAGCAGAAGGGCAGAGACTGAGTCCAGGGCTGTGGGCTCAGGTGCCTTGTCACTGTACTGATCTCATGTGGGTACAGAACCTTGGACTCAGCCCAATAAGCCAGAATTAAAGAGTCTTCTAAAAAGTCCACCGAGGCCCTGGCCAGTGTGTCTCAGCGGTTAGAGCCCTTTGTACCAAAGGGCTTCGGGTTCGATTCCCAGTCAAGGGCAGGTACTGGGGTTGCAGGTTGATCCCAGGCCCCATTCAGAGCACGCACGGGGTAGGGGGGGCAACTCATGCATCTCTCACATCGATGTTTCTCTCTCCCCCTCTCTCCCTTCCACTCTCTCAAAATAGATGGGAAAAATATTGTCAAGTGAGGATTAACCAAAAAACATTAAAAACTAAAGAGTCTTCTAAAAAGTCCACTGAGACTTGTTAAAATGGGGTGTGGGGAACCCAGTGTCTCGGTCGGGGGTGTGCCCAGGTTGGGCGGTGGCAGGGAATACCTGGAGGTGGGTGCTTAGCCGGTGGGCCCTGGAGATGGAGGTACCTTATAGGGTCCAGCCACTCGGTGGCCTGCTGTTCATCCTGGGCGGCTGAGGCACCCCCCTCCACCACAAGGAAGGATATCTGGAACAGCAGGGCCATGAACAGCAGCGGGAACAGCGTCTGCACCTCCATCCGACGGGAGGGCTCCAGCAGCAGCTCGTGGATGGCCCTGGTGGCCTGAGGCGGGGAGGGGAACAGGAACATGGTCATCGTTAGCTTCAACTCTTGGGTCCTGTCACCAGGAAACCTCAACCCACAGCGACCAGGACGGGTTGGTCCAGGAAACCCACGAGGAAGGCCCCACCAGTGCGAGCCAGGAGAATCAAGGGAAATTTCTAGAATGTTCTTATTTTAAAGTGCCTCATTATCATGGTCATTGTTTATTGTCTCAGTGTCCTTGAGAGTTAGGGAGGGGCTGGGGGTGTCCATCTTACATAAGCCCACAAAGGGAGAAGTAGAAGCTATCCTGTCTCCCTACAGGGCACAGTCAACAGGAAAACCCTCCCGCCGACCCCACCCCAGACTCTGGAATGCTCCAGCAAACCCTGATATAAGAAGGCAGAGGCCCATAGAGCTCAGGACAGCCTGGCCAGGGCAGCGAGGAGCCCCAGCCCAGCCCAGCCCCCTGCCGTACGATCAGCGGTGAGATCTGGGTCCTGTCGTGGGGCTCCGGGTCCTGGGATCTCAGGTGCACTATCAGCCTCTGCAGCAGGTACCTCATGATCATCTCGTAGCTCTGGGGGAACGATGCCAGGATCTCCCAGGGTTTGCGGACCCCTCTGTGGAGGCAGAGGCCCAGCGGCTTGGTCACCCCCCCACACACGCTCCCCCGGCTCCCTCACCCGGGGCCAATCAAACTCAAAGCCAAACAGAACAAAGCGAACCACCCAGATAAGAGCAGAAACAAGTGAAATGGACACAGAAAACCGATAGAGGAGACAATTGATAAAAGCGGCTTCTTAGAAGAGATCAATACGATTAACAAACGGCCAGCCAGACGAACCAGGAGACAGAGGGGAGGCGAATTAGCAGTATCAGCGATGGAAAAGGGGAGTCCCCACAGACTCTGAAAGGTAATAAAGGAATTCTGGGACCCACTCCTTCACCACAAATACGGTGACTTAGATGCAATGGGCCAATTCCTTGAAACACACAAACTACCAACACTGGCTGAAGATGAAATAGACACAAGTACGGTCAATTGATTTTTTTTTTTTTTAATAATCCTCACCTGAGGATTTTTTTTTCACTGATTTTTTTTTTTTTTTAGAGAGAGTAGAAGGCAGAGAGGAGGAGGGGGGAGAGACAGAGAAAAACATCGATGTAAGAGAGATACATCCATTGGTTGCCTCCCGCATTCACTCCAACGAGGGCCCAGGATGAACCTGCAACCCAGAGACAGGAATCAAACCCGTGACCCTTCGGTGCTCTAACCACTGAGCGACACCAGCCGGGCTGGACATTTTTTTTTAAAGACAGTTCCAAGCTTGGGCAAGGCTGGGAGTGAAGGGAACTTCCGGTGTGGCTGGTGGGACCACCAAGGCTGCAGCCACTGTGGGAAACTCTTTGGGTTAAACACACACCTCCCAAAATGTTGGTGTTTCAAAATTTTACACGCTTCCCAAATTTTCTGCAATAATCCCCATATACCTTTGACAATCACCTCACCCCAAACGAGCAAGTCACTGACTTGGATCAGAAATAGGATGCATTTGAGAGCGAGCAAACCAGAAGTCCATGGGGGCCGGTTGGTGTGGAACTGGTCGAGCCACCCACCTCTGAGACTGGTCCTGCATCTTGAGCAAGGTCAGGATAACTTCGTCGGCGTAGGCCTGGGCCAGCAGCTGGAGGACCTTCCTAATGTTCTCCTGGGCCAGGGCCTCAGTGATCCTGTTTATATTGTGGTAAATGTACTGCACGATTTCTGGGACCTGAGGTGGGGGAAGGAGAGAGAAGGTCCCTGGATGCCCAACCCCCACTCTTCATCAGACCCACAACCAGGAACCCACATGGAGGGTGGAGCTGGCAAGGATGCGTATCTGAAACTCACCTAATATTGTATGCCAACGGAAATTGAAAAATAAATTTAAAAAAGTTAAACTAGCCCAGCCAGCGTGGCTCATCGACCTTAGGAACCAGGAGATCACGGTTCGATTCCCGGTCAGGGCACATGCCTGGGTTTTGGGCTCAATCCCCAGTAGGGGGCATGCAGGAGGCAGCCCATCAATGACTCTCTCTCATCATTGATGTTTCTATCTCTTTCCCTCTCCCTTCCTCTCTCTGAAATCAATAAAAACATATTAAGAAAAAGAAAACAGGACAGAAAGGAGCCCTGATGTTGACCTTGAACCCTCCAGCCCCTCGGGGCTGCTACCTTCCCAATCTCGGGCATCGAGGACTTCAGGATCATCTCCAATATCTTGGACGCCGCCCAGACCTCATTCCCTTTGGCACCAGCCATGGCCTCCATGAACACCATGATCACATCTGTTCTCTCCTCGGGGGTCAGGAATTTCTTGAAGAACTGGAAAGAAAAGGCACCGCTGTCCCTGCTGTGGTGGCCTCCCGCCCTGGGATTGCCCAAGGCCGGCCTCTGGACTCCCCCTGACCAGCCCCCAGGGTGCAGGGAGGTGGTCCTGGCCAGCATCCGGAGATTCCCTGGCGGGAGGCCACGCCCCATGGTGCCTCCAGCTCTGATGTCCAACCCAACACAGGGGATAATACAAAAGGCGTTTCCATGTTGAATTTGGGACCCAGTTAGGGGACCCCACAGGACGTGAGTTCTGAGGTTTGGCGAGTTTGTGAAGTGAGGCGACTGGTGATCTACAACCATGTGTCTCGCGTCTGAATCTACACATCCCATGAGGCTCGTTCACTCCCGAGGTACTGAGTCCCCACTCGGCCTAGTTCTGCTACTGGGGGCCGGGGGACCACAGACAAGATGCCCACTGCCTCTGCCTTGGGGGGACTCACCACCAGGTCAACAGGTGATCATGGTGAGCGTCAGAAACACTAGTAAAGGGGCAGAAAGTGGGCACTAAAGTCGGACTTGATCAGCAGAGGCTCCCTGGAGGGAGTCCCTCCGAAGCTCTGGCCTGGTGAGAATGGGGGAAGAGTTCCAGGCAGAGGGAGCAGGCTGTGCAAAGGTGTGAAGTGCAAAGGAGCTCAGTCGGGCTACTGTGTCCTGCCAGGGAGACCTGGCCAGGTGGCAAGGGGGACCGAGACCAGCTGAGGCAGGAGAGCCGAGTAAGGCAAGCCCTCAGGGGCTACATGAAGTTTGGACTTTAGTGTGAGAAAAGCAGGGAGTTGCTGCAAAATCTGAACAGGAGAATGGGCTGGTGCTTGTATTTTAGAAAGAACTCTGACTGCAGGGCAAAAAACGGCATGACCTCCAACTCCAATCAACCCGATGCAGCAAGGGGGTGGACCTTGACCTCTGGGGACATTCCCTTGTGTGGGGGGATTACTCCTCTCCAGGCCCCCCTTCCCTGCACACGCTCCCGGCTCAGGCATCCCACGGGCAGTGGACAGCGAGCGTTACCATGGCGAGGTCCTGGATATAGACAGCCGCTCCTCTGCGGAAGTGCTTCTGCAGGTCCTTCAGGATGACCTCTCTCTTCCGCTTCATACCTTGATCCAAAAACAGCTATTAGGGGTGGGGCCTCAACAGGGAAGAGGAACACACCCCGCCCACTGCCCCTCCAAAGCAGAGATCAGCAGGGTTCAATGGGGAGGGTTCCCTGGTGCCAGGCCCAGGGTGGGGGGAGACTGTGCCTGGTCAGAGAGAAAGTCCAGGTCAGAGAGAAAGTCCAGGTCAGGAGAGAAAGTCCAGGTCAGAGAGAAAGTCCAGGTCAGGAGAGAAAGTCTGGGTCAGGATTTCCCAGTTTGGTCCTGGAAAGGATGCTCATTTGCTGAGCCTCACACCCAGCAGCTGAGTCCGGGACAGCTGGTAAGCACTGAGGACCCGAGGTGATCTCACAGGTGGCTGAAGTCTAGTCCTGCTTTCCCCCCAAGAATCTTCTAAAATCTCTTAAAAGAGGGCATTGCAC